AAATGGACAGTTTCAAGAATGAGTAGTTAGCAAGATACAGAGGATGTGAAGGATGGAAAATGGAAGGAGGTTTAGTTTGGCAATTGAGAATTTTTAGAAGGATTTTCCAATAGGATTATCAGGAAAGTGATGAGAGAAATGCTGGATTGCAAAAGACTGAAGAGAAAATGTTTGGAGAGAAGTATAGAAAGCAAGTTTAAATAACTTTTCAAGGAATATTTTTGTTGAAGAAAAATAACTTTTTGCTGAAAAAAATACTTTTTATTAACCTGTATTAAGTACTGTAAAGTTATGCAATTCAATCTGATAATACTTTATAAAAAATGTATCGATACATTGAAAAAGTCATATTTTTTCCTAAAACAATACCCACTTACCTATGCAGCATATTTGGAACATTTAGAATACAATTTTACAATAAAAGGCACATTGAAAATGGAAATCTTTCTATAACATATCAATTTTTATATGCAGTCATTCATTAATCCATTTACTTATTCAGTATTTATATAAACTATTTAGAAGAATGTTAGTCTATTGTAAGTTCACATGAACCTATATGTATTATAATTATCACGTGTGTATTTTGAATATCATATTCATATGTGAATAAAAAAATAAATATTCTATTGGAGCTCAATTATTTTATAAATGAATTGGCTTAACATCTTGGTATGTAGAACTATTTTTTTCCAAACCTGTGTTAAACTTTTTAAGATTATAAATCTTTTGATAAAACAATCAAAGCTGTGGATATGGTCCCTACAAAAATGTACCTGCATGCATACATACTAAAATGTTAACAGATTTTTCTGCATATAACAACATTTCATTTAACAAAAGCTGATACAGGTAGGGACATTTTTCAGATAAAAGAAGTTTCAAACCTTTTCATTTGAACTATTTTTGAATAAAATCTTTCTAAGATATGTCACTCCTTTTTTCTGCCATTTTAATCATATTATAGGAACTTTTATCTTAAAATTAAGATAAAATTATTAATTACCATGAATTAAGGCCATGATTTTAAACATAAACTTATCCTGAGTCTTAGAACAATGCTCTCAAATGTGAGGAATAAGGAGTCTTATTTCCACAATATGGACTCCATATTCTACTGCATTCTTTCTTTTACTACTTTTTTTTTCTTTATTGTTTAAGCATTTTATCTACTCTATTTGCTACCTATGTGCCACTAATACCACTGTCTCTGCTTCCAACACATTCTACGTAAACCAGGAACCAGAAAACAGAAATGCTGAAACTATACTTAAAGTTGAATTAAAATAAACTACTGGTGAAATTCTGAGACTTTCTTAGTAAACTGTGTGGTCTTTTTTACATTTATTTTTGGCTATTAAGCTTTCTTTCTTTCTTCAGGAACTTATTATCTATAGCCTAGAAAAGTGAGGTGGCTTTGCATATAGGCTTTATAAAAAAATAATCTATAATCTCTCTGAAAGACATGATCTTTTGAAGTTCCTTAAGTAGTCCTAATCCAATATATTCTGGAGAAAATGACCATAAGAAATAAGCACCCTTTCTTAGTTACCTAATCTTTGCTTTTCTCTCACATGCTGTGTGTATGGGTGCATGCTTGCATATGTGTGTGCTCTGTATAATGAGCTTAACATTGGATAATTAGTATTTGGACTTAGGATGTAGGACAAATGAGTGCCAAATCACACATTACACAATTTGCTACTATAAAATATTCTTTATACATGTCCTTGCTCAAAAGCATTGGAGATATCAGACAAAACAGTATAATCACATTTCATATTTATAATATCAAATTGGATAACATAAAGAGTATTAATAATAAGTGATCATTATTCATATTACTCAATTTGGTATGAGTGGATACACTTTGGAAAAGTCCTAAACAGTATGTCAGTTTCTAGGCTAGTATTTGGGGAAATAAACAATAAATAAGAGCTCTTTGAGATAGTCACTATAATGTTTGTGATTTTTATTCACAGAGCACACCAGTTTTAATACAGATAACTGGTGCTACATACATGATCAGAGGCTGAATGATCACACTGTTATTATGCAAAATTGAAGAAAATATAGGATAATATTGGTTTTATTTGCAGTATTAAATTGCTTTAAGTTTTATTTAATATATCTCATAAAGTTTAATAATATGAAAGGAAAAAAGGAAACCTAGATAATGTAGTCTTATTACAAAAAAATACACAAAATTTTCAAATGCACAATCTTGGTAAGTCAAAAGAAAGGTAAAGATAAATAAATAATTGCAATTTTTGGACATTTATGGTTTTATAGCAAATAATACTAGTACTATAGAGAATTTGACATGCTGTTATTCTGAAACAACCTACTTTAAGTCTAAATTTAAGTTTACTAGACTCTGAGATTGGCTTTGTTTTTTATAGTTTTTTTTCCAAACACATCTTGAACAAATGCCATGTATTGACCTGATAATTCTTTTAATTAGCAGTACCTTCTAGAATTCAATGTTAACATTTACAAAATAAACCAAGAGAACTGTAGTTCTTTGTTTTTCTACCCTAGTTTTTACTTGTAAATTCCTTTGCTAATTTTCCAATCTGGCACGGCCCCCTTTATAACTACTTACCCACCCACCAGAGAAGTCGCAGGGCCCTTAGGAGAGTGGTTCTTTCTGGCTTGACTGAACAGTGTCCCTAGATTCTTTCTAAGTTCAAAAAAAAAAAAAAATTATGTTCTATACCAGTTGGAACTCCCTAGTTAATCCCCCCAACAAGGTAGGTATCTTTCTGATACAGAAACTAAAGCTTAAAGCTTAAATATCTGAATAAGAATATGGGGTAAAATATATTTATTTAACCCATTACTATCTATAGTTCAGTGGTCTTTATGTGAAGACTATTAAAACATGAAAAATGAAAGAAAACCTTTCTGAATCACAGTAAGATTATGGGAGGAAGCTTTAATAAAATGAGAAAACTGTAAAACGATATCAATTCAATATGTGTAATAATTAAGAAAACAATTTCTTTGCTCTTGCCAATTTTTAACTGGAAAAAGAAAAATATGCCATTTGGCTAATATATTTGTTGTTGGTTCAATGTCATTGTGCCAGTATAAAAGTGTGTGTAGGTTTTGATTCTCTGTGTCATTCCTCCCTACTTAAGAGGCAATGTTAAAGGTGACTAAAGGAAGAAATGCATTTTCACTTTATGTACTTTAACATTACAGAATTCACTACAGAAGGATCTGAGAGAGCCACTGTGTCCTGGAAGGTTTTCAGGAAAACTGCAGTGGCAGCAGTAGCACCATTGTCATAACCCTAGAAGGTACTCTGAAGTGTTCGACAACATATACACATTCAGCACCTGCTTAGGACACCTAGCATGAAAGTAACTTGGCATAATCATGAACGGTGGAAGATAATGAAGACTCAATATTTCAAAATCTCTAGCATATGTGTTTTGAAAATTAGACTGGATAGCAATAGACATTTGGCAAATAGAAAAAGAAATACATGTTATCTTTTACATATACATGTGCAGATACAGCCAAGTAGACCTATAGGCATTCATATAAATGCATGCAGATGGATACAACCATATGTGTGTATATGTATGTATATAAGTATGTGTGTACATACATATCATGTACATGTAGTTAGACCCATCTAAAATTAGACACCGAGTATCCGTAATATATGAATGAATATTTACTCACATACACTTAAAAATATGAACAATGGATATCATACTTGAAAATATATGGTGCAGATACTTGCAATTTTTTTTTTTTTAATTTCAGAAAGGTTTTGGGAAAAAATCCTATTTCTTACCTACATTTCCAGTCATTAAGTATGAATTCTGAAAGTCCATCATCCCCATTCCAACAATGTGTATAAAATCTTCAATCACCTGCATTAACTCTATCGAGCCTGGATAAATCTGGAAAAATAAGTAAGGGTAAGATGGAATAAAATGTCTATACTCATATAATAAAACACATAGTGGTATTTTAAAAACATACATAATGAGGTCATAAATGAGCTTTGTTTTATTTGAACAAATTTCTGCAACTGGCAGCAGCTGTATTTTTTTAAATTAATAGTTAAGAATGACACCAGATGTCACACAGCAAGAACTTCAGAAGTGATATGATACAGTGATTAATCCTCCATAAATCTAAGGAAACTCAAAATATCTAACAGATTGTCTACTTGGAAATAGCATGACTTTACTTTTGAGTGGCTCTTTTTCTTACTTAAATATAACATAGAACAAACACTGAAATTGGACTCTTCACATTTGTGGTTTAGTGTCTATATGCAGACACAGGAAGAAAAAATAATTGTTATTGCCATCATGAGGATATTTAAAAACTAGTAAATCCGTTGTATAATAAATAAATATCTTGGGAGAAAATTTTATTTCTAATAATTCTAATTAGATTTATAATAATAGCTCTAGTGTAGGTACTTTTACATGTACACATACAAAACAAAACTATGAGATTATTGCCCTTTTTTAGGAAAGAAACAGCAGAAGCTCCAGGTTAAACAATATACCTAAGGCCATACAGTATCTTTGCTATTGGCTGCAGCTGTATCTATCTAATTATATCTATCAGTCTCTGTCTACCATTCATCTACATTTATATCTATATAATCTGCCTACCTATCTATCTACCCATCTATCCACTCACCCAACTACCTACCTACCTACCTAAAGTGGCATCTACCTCCATGACCCAAGTGTTTTTTCCATCATCATGGCACCTCCCACCATATAAATAGATTGGTGTTTTGTTTTGTTTTGTTTGTTTGTTCATTTGTTGTTTTGTAAGACAACCTGATTCTGGCAATAGCTCATAGTGTGTGAAACATGAAAACCATTTAAAAGGCTACCTGAATTTTAGCATGTGTAACCCATAAAGCTTTTAAAGTCAGCCTGCATTATATAACCACTTTAGAGCAGAAAGTCTTTTTTTTTTTACTGACTGGTAATGGGATCGCAACCCTCGGTGTCGCGCCTGTACCAGGGACCGGAAACGGGATCGCAACCCTCAGTGTTGCACCCACACCATGCTCAGCCAGTGAGCGGGAACCGGTCTCCACATGGGATCCGAACCCTTGGCAGGAGTGCCGCCGCGCTCCCAAGCGGCGCACTCTCCAGTGTGCCACTGGGCTGGCCTGAGCAGAAAGTCTTTTGAAGTTAGGTTCATTTCTTATAGCCATTCAGCATCACTGCAGCTTCTAGTCATGAAAAATTAAGTGGATTAGAGAGTTCTAGCTGGTTTGTACTTGTGAAGGCTAGTGCAGAAGGGAAAGAGACTCTGATCAGCAGGAAAACATACAGTGAAAGCTGGAAGGAAGTGGAATAGGAGGAAGATGAGTTGAACAGGATGGACAGCAGGCAGAGTGTGTGTATTTTACAAGGGCTTGTGGCTATGCCCATCTAAAAATCAGACACAAAGTTTTCACAACATATTTACTCAATATACTTGAAGATGTGAACAATGGATATTACACTCAGAAATGTATAGCACAAATAGTTGCAAATTTTTTAATTTCAGAGAGATTTGGGCATTGAATCCTACTTCTTAGCTACATTTTCAGTCATTAAATACAAATTTTGAAAGTTCTTTATCCCCTTTCCAAGAATGTACATAAAATTTCCATTGGTATTAGGTCTTCCTGCTACTACTGCATTTTCCTCCTCTTCTTGTGTAGGTCTATGGGTATATGAGTATGTGTAGTGTAAGAATGAACACAAATTAAAAATAAGAGGATTAATTTTTCCTGTTGAAAATAAGGGAGGACACTCCCCCTTGCACCACCCCTTTTCTCAGAGCATTAACTTTAGAAAACTCCTAATTGTAACTTCTTTCTTTGTTTCATTGAAATGTATGTAAATCTTTTTAAAAAGCTAAATAGTCTCTCCGCAGCTTAAAGACCCAGGAGTGTCTCTCTTTAAAAGATTAACATTAAGGAAGACAGGACCCCCATCTCTCAGTTGCTGTGGTATGGTAGGAGTATAAGTTCAGTTGCTACTTGAACCTTGTTTCAAGTTGCAAAATTGCCTCCGGTCATAAAGGTAAGAGAAGCTTATTTTTCCTTTGAGTAAAGCCAATTAACTAACAAGAGAGTAACCTCCAATTACCAAGTCAATTTAGTATGAACTACTTGTGACAAATCGTGCTGTCAAGTCCTCTTACTCAGGGACTAGTTATTGTTTATCTTGAGGACACATATGCAACAGGTTGTAATTGCTTGGTCATATAAAAGGGGAGGTTTCTTACTGTCTTTGTAATCTCTGAGCAAATTGCCTATGCTATGCATTACATTCTAGTCTAATGCTTATTCAAGAATAAAACTCTTCTTTCTCCCATCTTTGTGGAGAGGTTTTTTAAGTTGGAAGAATATTTTGATTTTAATTATATTTCCCCAGCAGTAGTTGAATGTTATGAAATAGGGCTGGAAAACTTTTTCTGTTTATAAACAGTAAATATTTCAGGCTTTGCAAACCATTGAATCTCTGTTGGAGCAACTCAATTCTGTCTTTGTTGCACCCAAGAAGCCATGGATAACATGTAAATAAATGGGTGTGGCTATAGTCCAAAATGTTATTTACAAAAGAAACATCAGGCTGGATTTGGCTCACTGGTTTCAGTTTGCTCACTCCTGCTCTAGAGACACATGAATTTTCAGTATAACAAAAAAATACAGATCATAAACATGACCAAAATGGCTTGTGTTGACTGAAATGGACTTGTAAACTCCAACTACAATGGTGGTGTATAAAATACTGCCATATAGAGTGTAGTCTTTTTGTTTTGTTTACTTTAATAAACTACACTTTTAGTAGAATGCTTTATTTAAACATAGTTTAATCCTTCATAACAGGGTCTGATGAGTTACTAACAAATTTTGAAATGGCTGTTTGTTGTTCAAAAGTGTAAATTTTCTTTGCAAATTCCTTCCGATACCAATAGTCATCATTTCACTCAACCAGTTTTCCCAATTCACACAAAGCTCTGTTTTAAATTTGCTTTTGTTGAGCTTCTTCCTTTAAAAGAAGAGGATTCACAAGTATTATCTTTGGTAGATATAACCCTTATTTCCAAGAAGTTCACCCTTTGTGCCGCAACTTGGAGACTCATTTACCATGTAGCTGCATTTATGACATCACCTTTTAGTATAATAGCTACAACATTGCTTTTTTCTTAATTTCCAACAGTTATTTTAAAAATAGCATTAAAGATTATTACTACAGACAAAAAAATTTTAAAAATAAGAATAGCAAACTCAAAGTCAAAAGCAAATAGATGGACTATGGATTCACTATTTTCCGTTGACAAGAAGTTCTTTCACCGTTTATTATTTGTTCAAGCTGGGATCTCACAGTAAATAACATCATCTGATGAACTGCAGTCTTGTTTTAAATAGGATATTATACATTTGTTCTAAATATATCCATAATTAATAGTCTCCAGCATTCTAGAAAGATGTGCTTAGCTTCTGCAGCTGTATTCTAAGGAAAGATACCATTTTCTTTCAGTGAATGAATGAGGCTGTCCTCCAGAATAAAGCCAAGGACAAATATATAATTCAAACTACTAGAAAAAGATAGATTCATGGTCTCAAACTAAGGGGTGAATTTTTCCTACTGTGTCCAGAAGCAGAGAACATGTGCTTGATAATGAGGTAGACCCTCACTGGACTATTTTTAGAGCTCCTATCATAATAGTAATAAAGGGCATGCTTTACTCCTCAAGGCTTAGAATATGATTATAAAGGGAAAAAAGGGATAGATGGGTCACCTGAGCCACAGTAAATATTCATTATTTTTTTCAAGATTGCCTCGTTCTCTTGGAATTTTTAACAAGGGTCAAGTAGAAAACTTAAAGAAGTTTAACATTCAGTTAAATTAAATTTCCATAGGATTTTTTAAAAACATGATTATTCTCCCTTTCTTAACCTTTAACTCACTTTTTCTGTAATTCAGAAAAAAAAAGTTACTAACTACATATCAGTTAGTATAACACAAATGGCAGTGCAAGGCATTTTAAAACAATAACTAAACTGATAAGGCCACTTGCTACACTGACAAGACATAACAGAAAGAGAAGGGAGATCAGAATGCAATTTTTTTATGGGAGCTCTTTTTTCACAACTCTTGGATTTGAATAAAAATGCATATCAGTATATATGATCAAGATTATATGTGGCACTGTAGTAAAGGCAAATGATTTTACTAGTCACTACCACATAGTTTCATCTGAGATATGTGCTTTTAGATTTGCTGTTTTTCCCATAGTCTGTAGACAGGAAAGAAATCTTCTGGTAAGGCATATAGTTATTATATATTAATTCCTTAAAATAATAAATTACTTAAACTTGCTCAGTTTTTTTCACATGTATAAACATTATTCCATTCACTGGATGATATTATAGAAGGTCAATTGTTTTCTCTAAAATTACTATGGCATAATTTAGACTGACTTTTAAAAATCTTTTATGTTCTTGAAACAGCAAGCCATTAATTTCTTCACACATTTCTTACATTTTATTTAGCCAATTTCATTTTATGTTCTGAAATAAGCCAACCTTACCTGTTGTGCATCTTCCCATTTTTCCTTGTTTTCTTCATCTAGAAGGTTGCTAACTATTTGAAAGAAGTTCTGTAAATTAAATTAGAAAAAAGTTAATATTACATGGGAGAATATACTTTTTGACAACATTGGTGTGGGTTGATTATGTGGTAAAGTTATAAACACTTTGCAATACTGCTTTATGATGCTAACATATTATTCTAGAACATCTCTGAGGACCCATTTTCAGCACCATAAATCTAGGATTTTTACGCAACTTCATTCCTACACCCTTACAAGAAATCAGAATAGGAAAAAAAAATACTTAATTTTACTCACAACTATTTGTTTCCATTATAGCCTCCATATTCTACCCTCCAATGTCACTGCATCATTATTACATATAAGCAAGTTTTATACCTTCTGTAATGCAAGTTACCTGTATTTGATTTATTGCAAGTTACTCTGTTAATTGTGAATCATGATTGCTACTCACAGTGTTGTTTCGAAGAACATTATAGTGAGACCATGAACTATGGGCAAAGCTGAGGCTAGACAGGCTCCCTGGAATCCTGGCTCTGCCCTTCTTGGCTGTTTACTTTTATTACTACCCATTGTATAAATATTAAATGAAATTTTCTAAGTTCCTGGCATATAGCATATGGTAATTGCTCCATAAATTTTGTCTATTTTCAAATTATTACTTTTACTCCTCTGCCTTTTGCCAGCAAGTCAATATAGAGGAATGAATAGACACATAACATATTCCCATTAAAGTCCCAAATCTTTGCCATCGTCCTCATCCCTAACTAACTGTTGAAAACCTGTTGGCTTTATCTTCATCTAGCAGTAACCAAATGAGTTTTTGATTTTCTCTTTCCATGCAGACCAGGCACATTTTGATGTTAATTTTTCATTCACCGTGGACAGAGAGCCGGGCTCTGTTCAGTTCATCTCCGTTAGTGCTCCTTTCACACATGAGGGATATTTACCAAAGAGGGACTTTTCTGTCCTCTTATACTACGCTGTGCCATCAAGACATAGGAGCCAGGAGAAGAAAGTCTGTTGAAGACCAACAGTGACTTGGGATCACAGGAGACCTAAGAAGTGTAAAGTGAAGGCAGGACATTTGTCCTAAGCTATGCGGATGGAGGTTTCTTGGTTGTGTCCTAAGAACCAGTGTCATCTAACTGGTCTGTGTGCAACTTAGCCGTAGTACTGCTTCATACTAATATATTAGCTTAGGACAGGGATCCCTTGAGGGCAGAAATCATAATTTGATAGCTCCATCAGTCTTTCTCCCTGTCTAGATTTTCAAAACAGGCATTTGTTCTAATTCCAAACAAATTCACCTGGGTGTTTTTAGATGAAAAACAAAACTACTTTATTTCCTCTCTCTTGTGGTTTGAAGCTGTTAATATCTATATTTAATTGCTCTATTTGTGCTATTTATTTTAATCATTTCTGGCAATCACAAGGTTGAAACATGTTTCGAGTCATAACCTCTGTAGAAGTTACCTAATATTTTATGCAACTCTTGAAAAAAATCGCAAGTCTGTTTTAGACTTGTTTTCAGCTCGTTTAACCTTTTTGTGTTACCAGACACTTTTTTCACTTAAAATTTCCTGCTTGAAGTGTTAACATTTTAAGGGCTTAGTCCATTGAGCTGTAACTCTATCTATGGGCAGAAAGAATTAACCTTCAGAGTTCTCCAATTGCCTATGGCTGGTTAACTCAGTAGGGGACATGGTGCTAATGAGGCAACACTTGCAAGTTTTATCCCTATACATGACAGTTAGCTGTGCTGAGGTCCACGACCTGGGTCTGCATCCTTTCCCCAGCCAGCTTTCATATAAAATGCATGCTGTTGCTAATGAGAGACACCAAGAGGATGAGAAGCAATCCATGCAACTGCATCTCCATTTCTGGGAAAACATTTCACAGAGCATGTTTTACTGACAGTGGGTCAGTGACTCCTTGCTGTACATAAAAATTATTACACACACACTATTCCTTGACAAAAATCATAAATTCAGAGTTCAGTTTTTAAAAACCACCAAAGGGCACACATAAAACACACACACACACACACACACACACACACGATTAAAATATACATTATACTAATCAAACAAAGAGTGTAAGAAACATTTTGTACTGTTCTCCAAGGCCAATAAAAGGGACTTTACTAAATCACAGTGGGAAGGCAGTTCAGAATAAATTTCTCCTCTGATCTCACTGTTGATTGGATTTCAGGATAATCCGTAGCAGTGCCCTGACTTATGCAAGCTACTTAGGGGCACAGTGAGCCAAGCCTGAAAATCTTGGGTGGTGAAGGGCATTTACAGGGAGACTGAGTTTTTCTTGTTTATCAGTGTATCCTCAGCACATATAATGCTTCGCCCATATTAAATAGCAGATATTTAATAAAGTCCTAAATTAAAGGAACTAATGAAATTACAAAATCAGTGCACCTCAAGATTTCTAACAAGACTTAGCATCATTCCTTTGAGCTGACCCTACTCTGACTGATCTCACACATATTGAAAAAGTACATACACATATAAAATGTATGTATTTTATATATACATATGTATGTATAAATTTACTTTGACATTTACTCAAAGATCAGACTGATGTGTGGAACAGAACAAAACCAAATAGAACAGTATTTTGAAGAGGGGACTGCTGTGGCTTGAGTGTCCCCCCAAACTCATGTTCCACACTCACTATTGTGGTGGAAGGTGGGGTCTTCAGGAGGTGATTGGATTGTGAGGACTGTGCCCTTGTGAATTGTTGATGGTTGAATGGGTTGTCACGGGTGTGGTTCTGATGGCTTTATAAGGAGCGAAAGTGAGAAGGTTAGCTCTCTTGCTTATGCTGTCCTCGTCATGTGATACCCTGTGTCACCACAGGACTCTGTACAAAGGTGCTACCAAGAAGAAGGCCCTCACTGCATGTGCTCCCTTGGACTCTGGACTTCCTGGCTTCCAAAACTGTAAGACATAAATTTTGTTTCTTTATAAGTTATCCTGTTTCATGTTATAAGCGACAGAAGATGGACTAATACAGGGACTCCTAACATTTCAGGCCACTTTATTGAATTTTTGGACAAAGTATGAAGCTGCTTCCATGGCAGCAGAGCTGCTACTTGCTAGAGCTCCTTGATAACTCTGCTAATGGTAATAAGAGTTCTCTTTTGATGATTTATGGATTAGATAACTTAGGTCAGTTTCAGAAATACATCTGACAGTAGGTTTTGTGTTTGTTTGTTTGTTTGTTTGTTTTAATCATCCCTAATCTCTATGACCTAGACTGATTTGAAAAATTGGGTGTCCTTGGCAGAGTCTGAGTTATTTGGAGTTTGAACTAGGGAGACCTGTTTTATAATTTTCTCCACTGATTATTAACTATGTGGTTCTGGACAAATGTTGCCCACCTATGCCTTACTTCTGTAATCTGCAAGAGAGGAATAATAATAGCTACCTGGAAAAGCTGCTGTGAAGCTTAGCTTGGAGCTAATTCTTAACACAGTACCTGACGCATGGTAAGTGCTCAATATATGGAGGCTTTATGATTTTATTCCTTCTATGTTATGTTTTTTTATGACTGGCTGCATGATTTGTATTTATAGCCACATTATGGCAAATATGCACCTATAATGTTGATATAGACTTCACAACCAGTGACACTTTCTCCTAACCCTTTTAATGTCTCTTCCTTTTTCAGCAATATAGAGAGCACAGTACTGATTCACCACTAACTCTGGAGCCTTTAATTTGTTCAGCAGAAATTTCTCCTTCTTAAGATTGAGCTGTGTTATGAGGCTTTATTTTTTGTAGTAATTATTAGATACCTACTATGTGAGAGACACTGTGCTTAATGGCTGTGGAACACAAAGGTCAAAGAGTTATGGCTGTTTGTTTTTCTTCTTTGCAAGAAGTATGAAAATCAGTGCAGAAAATATGTTATAAAGAGAAGCACTAATGCTTTTGCAACATTCAAAGTACCGGCCCTAGATTTGGTTATATGAGACAAAAAGTTCATTTTAATTTATAAAAAATAGTAAATAATTATTTGTTTTACTTGTGATTGGCTTCTACTTGACAGATTTCTAATGGATTATATGCAATTTTCTAAAACTACTCAAAGTACCGGCCCTAGATTTGGTTATATGAGACAAAAAGTTCATTTTAATTTATAAAAAAATAGTAAATAATTATTTGTTTTACTTGTGATTGGCTTCTACTTGACAGATTTCTAATGGATTATATGCAATTTTCTAAAACTACGCTAAAGCATGTCTTAGCATTTAACTTTTGCCAAACTCCTTATAGAAACAGAGTTGTAGAGTAGGCTAGCGATTTGAGATATCTGAACCACAAGAAATGTGTTCTTCTCCACTGTAATCCAACAGCAAAATGCTTGGACACCAAGGGACAAAGACAAGCCCTAAGGGACAACATTTCATAATGTAGAGCAAAAGATTTAAAAGAATTGTGATGGTTCTGACTAGAAATATAGGGGGAACTGTAAGAAAGGCTTAAAGGCTAAGCAAGAAAGCAGGGACAAACCATTAAGATAAGAATGCGTAGCACAGGAGAGATCATTGATCCCCAACCTAGAGATGAGCTGATTACTGCAAGGCCATGTGTGATCAGCCTATTCTTCTCTTATGCTGTCCTGTCCTGTTCTCTCTGTACTCCAGGTTCATCAGACTTCATCACGCATCCCAAACTCTTCTGTCCTGCCTGTAGATCCATGTACATGCTGTTCCCTTTCTTTGCTCTTTTTCCTGACCATGGATAATCTTTTATTATCTGTCATGTCTAGATTTATATGCAATTTCCTCAGAAAAGCCTTACCAGATCACCCTCCCGCTAAGTATATGGGATCTGCATATTTCCTCTTTCTCTTACTGTACCATAGAGCCTTCTTTTGAAGTATATCACAATTTTTAATTATGATTTATTTGTATGATGATTGATTGAGGGCTTTTTTCTCTACCAGCCTATAATCTATTTGGGTTTACTTCTGTTTTGTTCTCTCTTATGCCCCTAGTGTATAGCATAAGGCACAGCAAAATATAA